GTTTTCAGAGATTTATTTTTATGTGATCTACCTATTGCAGATGGCGCGCGATGCGCGGGAAAGGGCGTCGGCTGGCCCGCAGGCACCGGCTCGGTTTAGTTGCTGTTCTCTCGGGATTCCCGGAACCCCCCTGCTCTGATTCTCTCGGACCCCGCCGTCTCGTTCTTCAGAAGGTCGCCGCTGTTCCCTAAAAGGCCGCCGTTACTGATACTCCTTATTCTCTAGACGCTCCATCGTTGTCGATTCTTTAGAAACCGGTACCTCATCAAGTTTTTGTTTTCTCTGCACATTGTATGGTGTGCCATTGTTTTCTTCACTTCGCCGCTTGATTTTCTGAGCCCACTATCTCTCAGAATTCTTCCTCGGCACATTTTTGCTGTTTGCCATTGTCGGTTAGTTTTTTTTATCATTCATATCATTACCTCGATCATCTTTTTTTTGTTGTGTTTTGTTACATTCTCACCTGGAATTCGCTTGTTTTTTTATGATTTGTTTGGTTTCGTGTGACGCATAAAAGATTTGCGTGAACTTTTTCGTGATCGACTAAGAAATCGGTCTATACCACGAACTACTTCGGTCGTACTGACTTGGGGGCCAAGACCACATCGATCAAAGTTTACGATTTCAGTAGCGTGCGCCGGCCAAGAGAAGGTCGTGGAAAGATCAGTAACCGGAAACTCCACACGGCACGCGTGACACTTATTGGAAGTTCGCAGAGTCGCGTTTTCATCAGGTTAGATTGAAACTCCACCTGATACGCAACGGAGGCAGTCGCCTACATATAGTTGTTTTTGCAGTTCGGTGCTGAAGCAAAAGCCCAATGGAAACAGACAGTCATCAATCCCAGTCTCAGGAGTCAGACGTGACAGCCCAAATCAATAACTTAGCTGTCACGGAAATCACCAATAAGATGGAAAAGGGCAAATCTCAGGTGAGAAGCTATGGAGAGCTAATAAAACAAATACGCAAGGAAGTTAAAGCAATAGTTACTCAAGCCGACATGGCGTTAGGCGCAGTTTTTCACCACGTCGGATAAAAGGCGTACTGTTGTGTTGGAATCGATCAATGATAAGGTCAGCGCCACATTAGTCCTACTGGAAAGGCTAAACGAACAAGGCGCATCCAACACGACAGTAGGCCAGGAGGGCGTAGAAGACATAGTGCAAACATTATGCGATATAAATGAGTGCGCCCCAAATGATTTAGTAAGAATAACAATTGAAAATAACAACAAAATAAACAATTTACAGATCGAAAATGCTCGACTTCGGAAAAAACAGTTGGAAAAGCGTCGTGAAGAGCTTTATGGACCAGAGGGCATCCGCATGGACGGTGAGTGCGATTCACACAGAGAAGTGTCACAAGCAAACGACAGCGATAGAGAGCTTTCGTTGCAGTCGATGAGAAAGGCGAAACAATCGAAACAAGGGACGACCCCATATACGCTGAATGGGCCAACAGGTACGTCTAGTGAAGACACAGACAATGAAAGCAGTGAGAGTGTGAAAGTGAAAAGTAGCTCACGGGTAGGGCGCGTGTCGGATGAAACGATGAGAGAATTTTTTCGCTCATTAGCAATGCCCGACATAAAAATATTTAACAATGAATCTAACCAAAAATTTGAAGATTTCATAAGAGCCTTCAAACTAAAATACCCGCAAAGAGCGTATAATGAAAAGGATCGGAAGGAGATCCTCGTAGGATTTCTAGGGGGAGAGGCGAAGTTACATTACAATACGTTGTCCAGTGCAGTCAAGAATAGTTCCTTCAATACAGTTGTCCAGGAGCTGAAAAACCGTATGAGACTGGAAAGCCAAGAGTCTCAAGCGGAAGCACTGAGGGCAATGCGAATGCTGCGGAAGAAGGAACACCAGTCAGTGGTGCAGTTCTGCCTCGAGCTGGAACTTCTGTCATCGCGGGCATATCCGAGCCTTCTCTGATTGAGACTTCCGTACACTGATTGTACTTACGTCAGTACAAAGGACCAAGGCATCTTTGAACAAAAATATCACTACATGTAATTAGAAATGATTAACTTTTAATGAACTCATCATCATTGAGTTGAATTCAAGCAAGTCAGCTGAAATACACAAGGTGAACAGAATTTACTCATCTGACGAGCCTGAATCCTGAATCATCATTTCGAGAATTAGCTATAAAAAGATCTTATTTTTGTTATGAGGTGATGTGACGCATGCAGAGAGTAATCGTCATGGGACAGCGCCTCCGAAATAGAGTCGTTATCTATGTACACCATCCTGAAGGGGAAGTTGAACAATGTTTTTGTTAATGAATGGGAAAACATATGACCACGGAATAGAGTAAGACGAAGTTCGAGGGCTTATTCATGTTAATAATCCCTGAAAAAAAGCAAGTCGAACGATGGCTCGAGCGATCCAGTCGCTATTCCTGCCAGGTCAGCATGAATGATTACACGAAGAATAAAAACTGGTCAGATTGACTCTTTGGTAACGATGTAGGCACATATAGCTGAGACAACACCCCATTTAGACTCTTGTCCCATGAAAGCCTTAGCAAGATAAAAAATGACAAAATCCGCTCCCAAACTCTGCTGTGCGTTGAGTCAGTAATATTCATTTATAGGGTACTTGTGATTCTCTTACACAGCACGCTCGCATACTTTCCCCTACTAATGTCGGGCCGTTGTTTTCCACACCATCTTAATTAGGTACTTGAACAAAACGAACCCCTTCTGGGCGTGGAGTCATGGTCAATTAATGCATGGCATTATTGCACAGCACTGCTTCACCTGAGTTGGGTAATTATCCTTCTTATACAAATCTGAACGGCACACGCGAGCATCGTTGAACCCTCCGGTTGTGTGCCCAGCGTAGCATAACTAGTCAACGCCAACGTTAACGGTGGTATCGAGATAAACAACGGTTAACATAGCGAAATCCAGAAAATCAGCATGTTTGACAATGCCGAGCCTGTTCTCCATGTGTCCTACGTAGCTACCGTATGTCTGTGAGGGTGGTCAGCCCCAACAGCCCCTCCATAACGTCTCAACACTGGAGATGTTCCAGAAGGTAATCCCCTTATCATCCAGCACAGTAAATAAAGAACCTGTTAGGACTGATACGATTTAGCAAGTAAGTATGAATTTCACAACTTACAATGCCAGTTTACCCCGCGCCGATTCGCCACTGAGATCCCATCACGTTTAGCGCTTCGTGCTTGCTTGGATTACATCACATCAATTAACCGTTCAAGGTTTATGATGGTCCTTGATGCTGGCGGCTCCTTGACCATCAACATCTCCAATGAAGAAGGTGTCGGCGCCGCGATGCAATAGTTTCTGTTTCAGACAGTCGTCGTTATATGTTCGAGCACCTACGAACAACAATGCAGGGTCGGGTCGTGTACAGGTGTACAGGATGCAGGAAAGAAGGAAAGACTATCAGCATTGTGGTACTGCAGCCTTTTACAGCTAGTATAGTGACGACAGACTACTTTCATGACATTCCAGGTTTTGGATGGATGCGACCTCGTAGGAGATCCCGTTTATCTCCCGCATGTGTGCCGGCCATGGAAAAATGCACAGGAAAGGGTAAATCGGATGGTATGAGGTAATGAAAGTGATCCAAAATTGTAGAGATCGTTTAAATAACCATTTTTCAGACATGTCACGAGCTTTCCAAGGATGCGCGAAATGCGAACTTAAAGCCAAGGCAGCTCTACCAAAGGATTGCGAACCAAGTGTTTGATAGTGACGTTTCAGGTGAAATGGAGCGCGACGACATGCTTCATTACTTCTACAGGAACGGATACGAAGCACGCCGTCGCACGATTGCGAGGTCAGTATGATATGATATGAAAAAACAGAATACGCACGAAAAACTCCGTCGCAAACCGTCGCCTCATCATAAGCTAAATCTCCCGAGCTCTACAATCAGAACCAGCTCTCTACTATGATAGTTTTATACGAAGCGAACTGTACAAGGTAGTGTTTAGAGCAGCTGCCAAGCTGCACGACAATCGTGTTACCATGGTCAACGGATTACGCACTCCTAGCTGATGGCACCCCGTTCCTCCTTACTCCGGAGCTGCACATTTACTTCTCTGCAGCGAGCATAGAGGTAATTCTTGCAAACGGTTGTACTCACAAGTTTTCTGGTGATCCTGACGCTTCTTCACTTTAGAGAGCGTGCCGATGCGGATTGCAGGCGTTGGTGGCGGACGGTGTGCATGATCTGCAGCCTAACGCCACCAACAAAACAGGTCAAGTATATATCATCCAATATGTTTGGTGGCGAACTCCGTGGATATGTCGCTGCTTTACGCCATCACATTAAGGTATTTTGTGTCCTCGATAGTCGACTCCAATGCAAACTTTGTGCTTTTGCCTTTTGGGAAGAACGAGCAGATGTACGACACGATTTTCGGAACGATGAGGGACGCGATCGCCGCCGCAGGAGGAGCGCTGGATTTACGGATCATTGTGGATTTTGAAAAAGCCGCTATTAATGCGGCAAAGAGGGCCTTCCCAAGTGCATCTGTAGAGGGGTGCGCTTTTCATTTAGCTCAGGCTTGGAATAGAAAAAGAGATGCACTTGGATTGCGCTCCACAGGTAAGAGGGAACCTGCGGTGTGCTCTTATCAAGCAGTGGTGGGATAACCATCAAGGGGTTAGTTTTTCTACCAAAGGGTTTGCACCGCAGGGTCCCTGCTCTTTATCGGCCCCCTGTTTCCAGGAACCATGCGGCATACATTAAATGCCGCATGTTCTTGGACTATTTGAAACAAGAATTGGTATAAAGGTATTTTCAGGAAAATGTGGAACAAGTGGAACAAGTCGGACCTCAGGACCAGTAATATTGCAGAAACTTTTAACAAGTTGGCTATGTAGAAATACCAATACCTTATATCAGTAGTTTCAATATCGATGCTTTTCAGAGTACTCGGAGATCTCTTGGGAGGGACCAAATACCCACGAATGAGTGAAATTCTTTGTGTGCTGGCAGAGTTGCGCCATCAATGCCAGAGCAGCTATTGTTGGCGCGGAGAGGGTTGGTTCCAACACTAGCTCATCTGCCTGACTTCGTACTGAATGCTGTAATTCCAGAGACCTGCCGAACCGAAGAAGCTCCGGAAGAAGGACAGGGACCGTCGGTACCGAATCAACAGGGAAATGCATCGCTTCAAGAGGGTGCTCCGTCGAGATCTGAGATGGATTCGAACGTCGACTATCACGGCGTACTGTCGCCGGATGTCGCATTACGTCACGGAGAAAGTTGTTTAGTGGGTATGAGTACTGGTTTGGGTTGTACGGGTCAGCAATGGTTAGGGTTAGCAATGTACGCCTAAATATTTGAATCAGTTCAAAATTTAGGCCCATATTTCTGTAATTACACTAGTCACCACATATACTACGACAATTCAAAAACATAACTTCTATACCTTTTCTAGAATATTATTAATTGTTTATTATAACTTGCTGTATTGCACATGCAACAGAAGTTGAAGAACATGTAGTAAGTTTTAGTTTTTTAATCTTTTATAATATACACACTCCAATTCTTTTACCTCCCTTCCTTACTGAAGAGCACGGGGGGGATATCGGTGTCAGTTTGTTTTCCGTATAAGGGCACGTGCGAAACGGAAGACAAACTACTTCTTTGAAAAAAACCCCCTCCAATTAATTTGTTACATTCTTTGTATTAATTTCATTTACATTTACTTAATGGGTATGGTCAACATCCGTGGCGAAGCTGCTGACATGGTGTAAACTTCGATCTTTCTTGCAGATGTTTCGAGGTTCACGAAGAGACGGGCGACGAGACGAGCGAACGAGGAGAAGGTAAGTTCCAATGCACGAAGATAATTACGCCTAGACAATATTTCCCTTTCAACCTGTACATATTGTATATAGACCTTATCTCCCTTTCATCTTGTACATGTTGCTTATAGACCTTGCCTCCCTTTCATCCTGTACATATTGTAGACCTTCGTTCCCTTTCGAAACTGTACATCTTACATGAAATTTCTTTTCTCTTTTCAACTTGTGCATAATTACACATCATGTACATATTGTATATAGACCTTTTTACATTTTCCAAATTGTACGTATTGCACGTTTGATTTCTGAAATGAATTGAATTCTTATGAGTGGATATGTATGGTTTCCATCCAATCTTGACACAGAAACCAAAGCCCAATCGCCACCCCCTAAATGAACATCCATCCAAGTCCAACTGCAATCCATTGAGAGCAACAACATCCATACCAACATCTTGACTTGAATACTTGGTGATATTATCACCTTCACAATGAAACTACCATCATGATGGTGATGTTATCACCAAGGTGGTTGTGACATTTCACATCTTTATTCGACCAACGAACACTGCCCACAACCACGGCATGTGTTCGTGGTATACTTATCCAATTTTTATTTTGCCGAAATACACGATTGATATACCAATATAAGAATAATTATAACAATAATTATAGGACAACCATAACTGTGATAAGAACAAAAAGAACAAAAAAAACACTTCGTGCTTATCAAATTCATTACATCTTCAACAAAACTGGATAGCTGTCCTACTAGGTTGTCGCGAGTTTCGTTATTGAGACAAAAGTAATCGGAATCTCAACCTACTTAGTCCCCAACTTACTCTCTACAATACGACCTCATCAAGGAAGATTCCAAAAGTTAATTTTTCTTCATGTTCTGACAAAACTTGCGACGGGTCAAACAGAGAGAAACGTGGGTCATGAGATTCACCATCAGGTACATACATACATAATCAATCAGGTGCATATGAAACACAACGATTTCTATTGTGAATTATTCCATGGCTTTAACATTCATTTTGTGAGCACGTAAAAAAAGTATTGAGACGGGAAAGCTGATTCAGTTCACATCATTCAGTTCACATGATTCAGCTGATTCATTCTGAGCATGCCTTAACGCCATAAATCAGCACTACAAGAGTGGGGATAGCAAAATAGGCAAAAGATTGGCTTGGTTCTGATGATTAATCTGAACGCCTACAGTCGATATCCGAAAGTTGGGGTAGGCGTGTCACCGGAAGTGACGTGCACTTGATAGAAGTTGCGTGGATAAGCTGTTGCCAGCATGCTTTGCTGATATCCAGCGATGTTGGAAGCAGCTTATCCACATAGCTTCTATCAAGTGCACTTCCACTGACACGCCTACCCCAACTCTCGAATATTGAATATACCTAGACAGACTGTAAACAATTTGAGCCGTGAACTTCAAAATGCTGGAGGAGTGAATTCGTGTAAAAGTATTGAACACGTGAAGGTGAACAACTTTCACGTTTCCTCTTCACGAATCTTTACACTTAGCCGCATTCACAACGAACCACATTCCATGAGTGCCCTAGCTATATTTCTTCAAGTTTTGGCTAGGAATCTGCACTTGTCACCACACACAACGCAATTTAGGCTTGAAAGGAACAAATTTCCCATGCACGTGCCTAGGATGAACCACTCATAGAAAAAAATGATTAGCATAGCTCTCAATAAACACCTGTGAATTGTCCCCCAGGAAGTGGTAAAGTCTCAGCAGAGTCACATTCCGGAGTGATTGGCAGGAACCACAGAGGACCGGTTTTCAATGTCACATCTGGTAATAGGCTGTTGATGTTGTCCTCCTAAATCACATCGCTACAGAAACGGCTTATAATGACATCTTATATAATGTAATCCAAATCTAAGTGATCACAACCTCGTCAGAGCTGCATAGGATTTCATTCGATTTCAAGGACTCTAT